CCACCAACCAGTGAGGACTTCCTAATGGAAGTGCCTCGTGGCAGGGCCCCAAGCTTTTTTTTTTTATATTTATTTAAAAGGGCCCAGTGCCCAAGGCTGATATTACAAATGAAAATATTGAGGCCGGGGTCCTCACAGTCTACCCGGAGTGACCAGAAAGAAAACTGCTGAGAACAGCTGAGAACCGGGCTCAGCATCCCATATATGATGATGAAAAAACTCAGGATAATAATGCTAATGATGTTTATGCTGATGTAGTAGGCTATGCTATATCTGCTAATCTGGCTTCCTAACCCTAGCTTAACTCCTAGCCTTCCTTAACCCAGGAGTTTAATAGCTCAGGGACAATACCACCCACACCAATGTCACCCATAGCTGTTCTCTTCTCGCCACCTAGCAGCCCCCCCCGGTTCGCCACTGGATTGCCTTCCTCCCTCGGCAAAACCCAGATCTCTCTACAAGACCTCGCGCTCCTGCAAATTACAGGTTACAGGGCAACACCCCCGCTCCGGCCAGCGTCGTTCTGGCATCGGCAAACCAGGGGCACAGAACAGAGCAACTCTGCGGAAATCAGTCCAAGTTCGACCTTCCCTGAACTCCTCCACCCCAGATATGTACAAAAACGGGAAGCTACCACCAATCCAGAAAACCAGAAAAGTAGATATAGCATGAAAAAGCTGAAATATGAAAATTAGACCGCCGAGATCCTAAAGGCTCGAAAACCCTCAACTCCCTAACCAACCTTTCCGAAGTTTCTCAAAATTGCCTCACTCACTGCCAAGCTCTACCAGGCCTTACGCCCCCTACTTTCTGCTAGGTTACAGGGCAACACCACTCGCCCCAGCTCCGGCCAGCGTTGTCCCTACAGCAAACCTTGGTTGTCCCGTAAGATGCCCACCCCAAAGCATCCCCAGATCACTCCACTAGACCTCACGCTCCTGCCTCAGCAGATTACAGGGAAGCACCCCAGCACCGGCCCACGTCATTCTGGCGTCGAACAACCATAGATCAACGAATGTAGCAAAATCAACGCAACCCAGAAAAGGTTACTGGAAGTCCCAGAGTCCTAAGCACTCTTAGGCCCCTCCGACAAAAACTAATAAGAGCTGCAAACGAAACCAACCTGCTGCACCGCCAACTTCCTGCCCTCCCCGCAACTATTGAAGAAAAACCACAGGTCTCGTGTTCAGTCCTCGAAACAACACACAACTGGTCTCATACCCTCCCATGCTGGAGTTACAGGACTCCACCAAGTCCCGGTACCGACCAACCTAGTGTAGACGGTAAGGAGTGCCTTCCTCCCTCGGCAACTCCCCATAGCCGCACGCCCCAAACGGTGACAGGGATTTAACCCCAGCTACGGCCACGTCGAAAGTGTTGGTTCTGTCTTCCTCCCTCGACAGAACTCCCCCAAACCT